CTTAGCATTCTATTTGTCATCGCCCTGACTGTGGCCGTCGTTACGGTGGTGAAGGAGAGGAAAGGTGTTCCAAGTTCCAGTCAATTTTGGCAAGTGATTCTACAGATATTGCAATTGTAAACGAGACTAAAGTCGAGTCATCCAAGTGTATCCTTGTAGTCTAAGTCAGCATCTTGTGAAAAAACTTAAAAATCCAACATAAATCTCTTCTTTAAATATTGTTTAACAAGCAGCAATTATTTCCTAGTCTTGAGCTCTATTGTATCAGCAATACTCAGCCACTGCAAGATAATCACAAACAGCAGCTTTGCATTTTGATCCACAGAATTCGCCTAGGTAAAATTCCCATTCATCTCTCCGTATTCAATTGGTTTTCTCTATCCCGGTCCACTCGTAATAGTCTCTCACTTCCCCGTGCTAATTCAGCCGCATTTACCAACTCTCCTCTGTTTTTGTCCTACAGCTTTTGGCTGCAACTTCCCCAGCATGTTAAGACATCAAAATGTCTTTCCAGCTTTAAAAATACACTCTGATCTCATAATGTAGTACGATAGTACGATAGGATCTCATTGCTAGATTCTTGTCTATCCTTCTTTCTTCTCTTTTTCTATATTCCTTTCTTTTCTTTTCTTTTCTTTTCTTGCCGTGGTTGGCTATCACCCCTCCCTCGCACTTTGCGTGCCAATTGGTCATGGACCACGAGTTGAGTGAAATAAATAAAATAAATGAATAAATAAATAAATGGCCTGGTTGAGTCAACCATACTTGGCTATCACTCGACAATCACTAACTGGTAGCTGGCTGACCCTGTGTGCATTGTATTAGCCAGGTTTCTCTTCCGGTCATGATAATTATATCTCTCCTTAACTATCTTGACAATAACCTTGATCCAGTTACTTACTGTGTTCCACCTGCTCTAACTCAGCCCAATGTTTAGATTTGCTCCTGAAGCCCTAATCTTTCCGTAGATGCCCAACTCGATAGGGGTTTTCAAAATTTGGTTTTCGCCTGACCTCGTTACCCCCTAGGTTCCAATTTTTAGTTGCGGGTGACTTCAATGCCCTCTACACAGAATGACTCCAAAGCAACAAAATACTGTACCTGCCCGCCTCGCAAGCCTTTGTGTTTTGCTTTTCATTCATGCGTGATCCACCTAGTATTCTTCCTCCCCCACCCTCTTTTCTCCTATGTCTTTTCCATAATATTGGTGCACTATGGAGTCGAGACCTCAGGTCGGCGAGTTCCCTAGGTCACAGCACCTTTCCTCCTCAATTCTAACCAGATTGGAGTCCATGGGCACTCGTAGAAAAATAAACACACTGCTTAAAATTAGTATAGCTACAAGGACCACAAATTGCGCTGTAAGCAATTACTAAATGTCGCCATGTACATGTATGTGGGCCTTGTGATCATCGTATAACATTTTACACATACATGTCAACATTTAACAAATGCGTCCAGTGCAATAAGTCGTCGTTCTTTACTTATTTTAGACGGAGATACACGACTGATCAGATAATCACAGTGCTGCCAACCTTCCGTATTTTTCCGTATTCGTACGGAAATTAACTCCCTTGCCCGCAGCACGGAAATTGACCGAAATGGTACGGAAAACTGAGAAGTATGGATCAGCTGAATATGAACCAGTTTTTCTACATGTACATGACATGGTATGCATGTCATACACATGTACATGATGAGTACAGTTTGAATAAGTGTTATGCACGTTGTACAGAGGAACAAAATCTCGTAAAATATATGTAGATCCCGTAGACCCAGTTGGGTGTTGAATATCCAGGAACCTATTGTGTTTTCTATTTCCACTAGGAAATGGGCCCTGGAGGCATTTCATACGAAACATTTTTTCTGACTAAGATCTAGCTAGTTGTTAAATCTAACCAAAGTGAAGAAGCTGGAAAACCGATTGTTTGCCATTAATTATGAGGCTAAACTTGGTCAAATGCGCATGCATAGCGCACAATGAACACCCAGCCATGCATAGCGCACAATGAACATCCAACCAGGTATGTACACACATATGGTCCTAGTACAGAACTTCGTACATCTGCACAACGTGCATAAGGACTATGGATATGGCCTTGATTTATGATTATGAGTACCCTTGTCCTACCAAAGCCATCTACAGTGCGTGCCACAACCACAATCGTGACCACGGTGATTAGTACTACAGGTCGTCCCTCGTTAATACATAATCTCTGGGACTTGACAAATGTAATGTATTAACGGGGTTTATGTACTAAACGAAAGTGTACCTAACTTGCTTGTGTACCAGAATTTTTTCACGTTTTTCAACTTTTCTGAGTGTTTCTTGCTAACATGACTAGGGAGCGAGATATTCTTGATTCCCTCAATATAACATAAAAATTATGTTATAAGGGTCACATTCAGCGAAGATTCTACAGTTTACATGATAGCATGCCAGCCGCGCCTGTACAGTCACTCGGAAAAAACAGAGCTTTCTCGGCTTGTGATGTGCGCTCTGATTTCTGAGCTAATTGCGTCCACAAGTAGAAACCAGAACACAATGTGTCTCCACTGGAAGGCCGAAAAACCAACAAATTATGTATTATTGAGGTAGGTGGCCCGGAGAAATGTTATGTACTAACGGGGTTTATGTACTAATGAATTATGTACTAACCGACAAAATTTGTATGGAAGTGACCACGTTTCGTCCGGGACTTGAGATTTCTGATGTACTAACGGGGTTTATGTACTAACCGGACTCGTATTAACGGGGGACGACCTGTAGTACTAGTCTACAAAGCACATGTACATCAATACATGCACACAAGTACCCGGTACCCCGAAGACTACAAATTTCGTAAAAAATACATTATAAATCCTGGGATTAAAAAAATGGTAGTTTGGAAAAAAACTCTGGAAAATGCGGAAATTCAGTTGTCCAAGGACGCAAATCGGACCGAGCAGGTTGGCAGCACTGTAGTTATTTTTATATCTATGTTTTGCGTCGTCCGCCGGCACACGTTTCGATTTTTTCGGAAAAAGATAAAAAATCAAACATGCACATGTATAGTGAGTGTACGTTCGTGTGAGTCATCATACTAGTGTGAGTCATCATACTAGTGTGAGTCATCATACTAGTGTGAGTCATCATACTAGTGTGAGTCATCATACTCGTGTGCGAGTCATCATACTAGTGTGCGAGTCATCATGCTCGTGGACTTTTTGCATACGTCAAAGCTGGGATTCAGAACTGGCCTTACCGCCAGCGTTAGTAAATGGTTTGTTCAGCAATTGCGATCCGTATTCCATGAGCTTTCACAAGACTGCATCGATCGCCTAAGCTGAGAGGATGCATCGTTCCGGAGCTCTTTGCACCGCTGCTGAAGGCTGAGTAAAATAACCCAGTGCAGCATTGACACCAACGGTTGCCTCCTCTGGCCAAAGTGAATATTTACTCAGGCTGATAACCCAGATTTCGTGAATCGATGCACGGTTTTTCTTTCGAATGTACACCATGTACGAGCTCTTGTGCTATACACCTCTGTTGAGTCTATTTTTTTGCAACTTCTTTTCCACCTCCTGCATATGATTCTGGAAGTTGAACTGATGCGAAACATAGAAGTAAGAAATGGTGGCCTTATGCATTAGCTCTTACACCCCACTTATGCTGCAGTCAGTACACATACGTACTTACGTTGACTCCATTTGTATACGACTTGTCCAACGCCATCATTGTGAGCCTTCAACACTTGGTAATCCACAGGACAGAACATAGCGGCGAGAGCATCTCCTCGCTCTGTGAACACAGCTCAGACATCATGCTTGATCGTAGTGTGTCCATGGAGTACTAAGACACAATGGGCTTAGTGCAGCTAACGCCAAGCGTGAATGGCGCGGAAAAAACGGACGAGAGTAGCGGCGAGAGTGTTGTCCTTCCTCGGTGAACACTGTTACACACCATGCTTGATGATTCACAAAACACCATCGGCGCAGGCCAAGTTTTTCGCCACCAGCGATTTGTTCGTTCACCAACAATCGAAATTAACGTTTTTCACCTGCACACTCCTCAGAGCTGTCGCCGTCGTGCCAAGGCCCACTGGCGCATGGCGTACATACTCCAAATCTACATGAATGACGAAGGGTAACGGCTGACGTTTGCGCTCATGGACAATGCGACGCTGCGTGAAGATACGTTGTGGTTCCGCGATCGATCAGAAATCTGTTGTGTGTCCATGGAACATTAAAACACAATAGCGGCCCCGGTGCAGCTAACGCCCAACGTGGATGAAATGAACAACAGTAGTGGCGAGAGCGTTCTCCTTCCTCCGTGAATACTGCCACAAGACATACTATTTTGATTGGTGATTCACCAAAGAAACACCATTGGAGGCCAAGTTTTTCGGCACCAGCGAGTTGTTCGTCCAGCAACTAGCGAAACCATTTCTTTCTTCAACCCTTCGTAGACCAGCCGCGACAATGCCTTTCTTTCACGTTACTCGTTAGGGATGCGATCTTTCCTAGATGCTGTCACCATTGACAATTTGAAATAACATACTACTACAAATGTGCTACAATCATGTAGCGTTTCTCCGAAAATAAAGTCAGCTCCCAGCCAGGCGTGTGAACAGCCTGCTTGAAGACTCGGCGATCGGATCGGGTGCGACGTCTCTTTGACGCCCTCTTTGACACCTGAAACAAAAAGATTTTTTCAACAGTTTATATAGACTAGTCATGTTTATAAAGTCATGCGTGAAACCAGCTGCATATGCGAGCATGCATGCATCAGCAGTCGATAATTCTTTTGGAAAAACGATAGGTAACTGCTTTCGCTAGTCGTTTTTCTCAAATCAGGTTTCTCCCAGGTTTAGCATCGGGAAATCGACAGTGATTGATATCACGAGGTCACGTACACAAAATGTCACTAACATCCACACAGACACAGCTGAGACATGAAGGGTTGATGAAGGTAGCGTAACCACACAGACACAGCTGAGATACATGTGTGAAGGGTTGAAGATTGCGTAACCACAACCACACAGACACAACAAAGATAAATGACATGTATGAAGGGTTGAAGATAGCGTGACCATGGTGACCACACAGACACAGCTGAGATGTTGAAGACAGCATAAGGCTATTTGTGGTACCAACAGCATCTCCAAAATGTTATCAGTGGATATACAATGTCATGTACATGTATATCACTCCCTTAGTATTGACTCCCATAGATTTCTTCTATACCTAAGCAATCAAAATTTGAGTATGCAGGAATATTTAATATTCCTGCATATTTCACTCCTAATGCCTGGTTCACACTAGGCCGATTTTCCGGCCGACATGGACTCGTACGAAAAATCCTCAAGATCGGGGCGAAAATTGCGTAGTGTGAACAGTGTTGTCGTACAGGGTTCCGACAAATCTGCAGCGATTTTCTTGTCGCACTAGTTTTCGGCCAAGTATCGACTGGTCGATATTTAGCCGAAAAGCCGGCCGATTTTTACTGCTTGCACGTGATGGAGCGGGATTCGGACCAATCACGGTAGGCTTTTCACCATGACAGCAAAGAGCGTCGATGTGGAGCTCATGACCTCTTGTACTTTTGTACTCTTGATGAAATGTAAAGTCCTACCAAAATTTCATAACACCCATGAACTCTTGCTTTTATGGATAATCGATACGACTCTATTGCGAGTGAGTCGTTCCCCGTGTGTGAACAGGCCGTCCGACTCAGTCGACACAGTCAGCAGACTCCATGTCGGAGTCGGTGTCGGAGCACTGGCCGGAAAATCGGCCTAGTGTGAACCAGGCTTTAGGGCTATATTGACTGCTTATATTTGACTCCTTTTAGCGATTGAACACATGCTTTGGTTTAGTCGTGATAAATCTAATATTGACTTCGTACTTGGTGACTCAGTATAGGAAATAAAAGACTTCGGCTTCGCCTCGGTCTTTTACTTGGCATTTATTTCCTATATTGACCTCGTACCCAGTCAATATTAGATACTGTAAACCGTGAAATTATTGCCATGGTCGAATTTCTGCGAAATTCGCGACCGCGTGGAAATCGCGAAACTTAGATTGCGCGAAAAGGAGATCCATGAAAGGTTTAGCAAGAATGCCACAGGTTTAGCAAGAATGCCATTCTGCAATCGCAAAATTAAAACCTCGCAAACCTGTCCGGATTCTGAAAACGCGAACTAAAAACGCCGCAAAAATTTCACGCTTTACAGTACATAATGTACAATGTACATGATGTGTACATGTACATGTACATGTACAGTAGTTGCAAAATATCAGAGTGGCTTTTTCAAGCACACGCATTCACAAACACCAACAACCGTTTATAGATTGAAAAGATACCGATCAAAGATACATGTATAAGTTTGCCATAGTCAAAGATTTAAGGGGGCAGGCTGGTCGTAAAATCCCTGAAAAGTCGAATTTGTAAATACACTCCTTTGTCCGCAGTACGGACATACAGATGTACATACAGATTGATAACTATTAGGGGTGGATTTTTGTGTGAGTAGTGGTGGTAGTTGGGAAAGGGGTGTCTGACAATGAATGTCAGCCAAAGCCAAACTACAACTAGTCTTAATTAACGAAGTAAGGCATTCAGAGGCATCCTGTCATCGGATTTTTGGTTGAGTTTCTACAATTTAATATTGAGACGCTGTCTGAAATGGCGTAGCGTGTATGTGTGTGTGTGGGGGGGGGGGGGGAGGTATGGCTTTGGCAATAGCACAATAGGAATGGGGCAGATTTTTTTCGGGGTTTTCTCGGAATGGCAACGGATAAGCTTGTTCCATTGTCTGCACCTAGAGATGAGTCTGTGCTTGTCTTCAGAGAGGAATTGTATTTCTTTTTTTGAAGAAATATGAGCCAGGACAATCCTACAGATAGAATGCAAACACAAGAACACACAAATTGATTAGCGAAGTGAAAAAGCAGATCATTTATAGAAGAACATATTGGAAGCTTTCCAAATTCTTCAGGTAGTACACACATCCAATTATGGCATCTACACCAGTCTTGAAGAACAAATCGAATGAACTTCTTCGCCTTTATCATCCCGACCCATCAAGGGCTAAATGTGTCCGTTCCCTTCTCATCATGAGCTCATACAGGGAATAAAGCGCTTTATTTCCTGTATGAGCTCATGATGAGAAGGGAATGAAAACATTTGGTTCTGCTAAGTTTCAGTTTATTCTTCTAGCCTTGTGCGAACAACACATCGACGCATGCACCGCAATTGGCAGTAATCGTGGACCTTCAGCACAGGAAACCGAATGCGGAATTTGAATGATGGACAATACGAACTTAGAAATTGCGGCTTTGGCGGTATTAGTGATGAAGTTGGTTGTTCTTACGAGGAACGCACGCTTCCTGCCGAACTTGACACTTGACTAAACTGGGAAAATGACACAGTCTGAACAGTAAAGTTGAAGATGGCTTACATTTCTTATTGTAGACCTTGAAAAAGAAGATGAGGTTCAGGGCAACACTGGCAGCGAAGAAAATACCTCTTATGATAGATACTGCAACTGAAATGTCGGAGCTGCATTTACTATAACCGTGGGCAACAGCAGTACTAACTGGTGCTGCAAAATACAACAGAAAACCACATTCTTGTAAGTATAGATCCCTCAGACATTAATTAACAAGAACTGCTCAGGCTTCAAATGGCATCATATGACACAACATACAAAAAGTGATCCATGTCAATACCACGTCATTACCCGTAAATTTCAACTGCCAAATCAGCATTATTCATCTATCATGCATAGGATATTAGTCACACATGGTGGGGAGGGTATGGTGCTGGTTCATAACCAGATGCATAGCTTCAGGATGACATTGTGCAACACAGCTCAAGGATAGGAGGGTGAAACAATATTTAACTTTCTTCGTGGAGTGCATAAACATTTCGCATCAGATTTCGTTACAACTCGAGAGAAAATTCATCACTTTCTTTTGATGGGTATGCTTTCTTGTGAGTAGAGTATAAGTTAGCAGAATTGCATAGGTGTAGGGTGACACTTGGTGAACTGCAGCACCAGTGCGGACTAAAGGGCATGGATACACCATACCGGATCATCATGGACCAAATAAGCCTCGCGATTGGCCTAATAGGCACCCTGACAACAGATATAATTACCGTACTGGCGGTTTTAGGGACCCTGAGGTACTATGTTTTCACTGTCTATCACAGATGGGCTACTATTCAAGAGAGGGCTCTCATCACGCGAAAACGGTATGGAATGTGTGCTACACTGGACTTACGTTATGAGCGTTGCTCTAGCCATCTGAGCTATTGGATCGGGCCAAACCTAAAAGGCACTGGCAAGTTTTTCACTCAAAAGGCAGCTCACAACACGTGCCACACAGACTCATGGCACATGGGTCACTTTCCCTCCAAAAGGGACCTGCCTGAAAAGAGAAAAAAATGCCAATTCCACCAAGACTCGAACCCAGGACCTTGCTTGTCATGAGCAATGCTCTAACAAACTAAGCTATGGAACCAGACCAAACCTAGAAGCTGTGAGCTGCTTTTTGAATGAACACTTGTCAGCGCCAGCTAGGTTCAGCCTGATCCAAAGGTTTGGATGGTTATAGCACATCTCGTGACAAGCAAAGTCCAGGTTCGTGTCCTGGATAGGTTGACATAAGTTTCCAGCCAGTTCACTTCCCCGAATGACCCACCTCCGCTGCATATCTCTGTGATTATAGATGCCAAGCTGTCGTGGGATCCTCACAATGAGTTGATTATCACCAAGGCCGCGATCGGCGCTCTGTGGCGATCCCGACGAGCACTGTCTGGTAAATCACGACGCATGTTCATTCAGGCAGTGATCATGCCTGACTTCCTTTATGGGTCAAACGCATTCTTTGTCGGGCTACTTAGCGGCCAGTTAGACCGCCTGCGACCACTGCACTAGGTTCGGTCCCGTACCATAGCTCAGAAGGTGAGCTTTTTGCTTTTTTCTCTTTTCAAGCAGTTCACTTCCCCCGATTGATCCTTTGAATTTCAAGGTCTCCCAATCCTTTCAAAAACAAAACATAAATCCTTACTTTCCTCTGAGTACCTCTTGTGTACTGCATGCAGCTCATCATAGGAATTGGACACTCTAGCAGGTTAAGGCGCATTGTCTCTGTGTAATGTGTGATATATGGTGAGAGATAGGCAACCAAACATGTGTACCTGAGCAAGCGGAGATTTCCTTGGTCCACATTCCACTTTTCTGGCATGTGATCAGTTGATGGCGTTGTGACCAGTTACCAGAAACATACAGGCCTTCTCTGCATGTGACATTAAGTGATGTGTTTGCTGAGAAATTCAGTTTCATCAGATTGATAATTTCTGGGGTGAATGTACTTGCAACAGACACAGCCCACCCTACTTCACTGGGTAACTTGCAGAAAGCAGGAGGTATTGGTTGATAAGTTGGTTTATCAGTGACATCAGGTTGTACTCTGACTGCAGCTGTTGTAGTGCCTAAAGTGACACGATATCCAGGACCGACCGAGTTGACAGCAAACACCGTGATCAAAACACTTCTCCTCTCCTTTAGTCCAGTTATGGTGTAGAGTGGCATTGCAATGTTGATATCGTTGCTCACTCTCTCCTCAGTATCTCCTCTGAGAACACTATACTGAATTACGTAGTATAGACTACCACCTGGAGCAGATTCAAAAACAAAGGAGAATGAAAAATGATGAGTTGTTTGCAAATAGAAATTCGGCTGTACTGAATGCTGTTGTAATATCAATCTAGTAAAAATAGTAGGTTGGCAATATTAATGTTGACTGAATATATAATTTTTTTGGAGACGGGAAGCTTAGGCCACGCCGTTTTTTATCTCTGTTTCGCGTCCCCCGCGCGCATGTATTTCACACCCGGAGTTAAAAAAAAATTAAGAATTTTTTTTTTTTTGAAAATGCAATACAAATTTAATGCAAACCCAGAAAACAGGAAAATGTAACTCAGCTCACACACATGTACCTGGTACATTGTACATGTGTGTGCAATAAGCTGGACCGCAAGTCACACAATCATCATGCTGCCTGTGTTTGGACCACAAGCATGGCAGAGGGGATACACTCATGTATTCATGTACATGTACATTGTACATGTCAATGTACATGAACAGTGCCGCGTCGCTTCATTGTACACAAATGTAATGCACGTACACTGTTTTTTTGGATGGCTTTTTTATTTTTTTTGCCCTCCCTCATTGATTTCATCGAATAAGGTGACGCGAAACATAGACAAAAAACGGCGTGGCCTTATCAGGAAAAGAAAAAACTACAAATCTTAACCCTTTAAGAGCCACAGGAAAATTTCAAAATTCTGCATTTTTTCGTGCTCCTTGGATCATAGCTTCAGTTCTACTCACTCAATCCTCCCAATTCAGGGCTTCCTGGAAAGGTCTCTGCGAGAGGAAGAGAATGAGGTCGATCATGACAGCCAGCACACCGTCTATCCAGCGCTAGATCGCAGCGACAGTACGAAAAATGCCCCAAATGCGTCCAATTGCGTCCCGCTCCAGATATTTCATTTTACTCGATCGTGGAGTTCCAATTTTTTCGCTGTGTACTCTTGACAATATCAACAGTGAAACCCGTGCAAATTCGAGTAAACCAGCTTGACGAAAAGTCTCAAAATTCTCAATACTAAAGTCGCACTGCGCGCTTTTGAAATTGCCGCGATCGCGGCTCAACTTACGAGTGATTTATCTCAGGAACCGTTGCTCGCAGCGCTTCGCGAATTGTTTCTCCCGACAGGTGAGAGTTTTCTCTTCGCCCTGGATATTTCGATCACTGGATTTGAGCGAGATTGGACTGAGTTACGATCTTTTGAAGTTTTGCATTTGAATGCGTCGTTTACGACGCATTCAAGTATGGGGCGGCTCTTAAAGGGTTAAGCTATTCGTCACCATCATCATCAATAAGGACTAGGTGCAAACATTTATATGGTTTAACTTGTCAAATATAACACAATGATTATATTAATGCTAATGTGAATGTGTTCTTGAATATCGATCCACCATACATCAGGGGTTATTGACCTACAGACCATGCTCTTGAAAACAATACTCACCGTAAGTTGTTTCTGGTGCTTGCCATCTTGCCTGTAGTACAGAGCTTGATATGGGTATGGCTGTCAAATTCCTTACTGGTCCTGGGGCTGGATTGGAGAAAGAGAAAAGCGAAAGGAAAATAATTGAGTTGAATCTGAAGCAGGTTTCCCGGGGCAAATGCATCAAGAAAATCCGTCATGTCAAAAAATTTGCTCCATCTGCGGACAGAACTGTTTTGTCCTTTGTGGACATACATTTATAATTGTTCACTTGCTGTGTGTGTTATGCAGAGCTCACTGACTTTTCAGTTTGAGCACTCTGGCAAGGTACGTTCGGGCCTGGTTTAAATCTGGCTTTGGATATTTTATTTTTCATTGCTACCAGGCTCGGCCTCATTTCCTCTGTGCTGCGCTGATGAGTCCACCAAGGACGAAACAGTTCTGTCCGCAGATTGAGTAATAGGGCTTGAAAGTGCTACGTCACAGCATGGCAACAATTTCAAAAATTGAAAAACTGGATCCACTTGGATCCAGTTTTTGTATGGATCCAAGCACATTTCAAGCAGTCTTACTCACAGCAAGGTGATGTAGCCAGTGAAACTGACTGATTTGGCTAATGGGGGCGGGGTGACAACTGGTGGCGAAATCAAAGTCACACCTGCATGCGACATGAGTGGGTTGCTATGCACCCACATACATAGGCAATAACAAAGTCAAACCTTAGTGGATCCAAAATAGTAATGTGATGTCAATTTCCTACTCCCTGGGCGTTTTGACACCATCACTTTCAAGTCCTATTGTTCACTTGTATATTTTCACACTTTTCATGTTCAGCATTACCACACTGCGTGCATTTTCTAGGATATACTGTGACATTTTCTTACAAATTGTGTGTACATGATGTTTGTGTGTTATAGAATATTCATCTGGCTGTCTGGCTGTAGTTATATTACTTGTTTGGCCTCTTCATTCTTATCAATTCCCTGATGATGCCCGATGGGTGAAATATGGGCGACCTTTTTTCATGGAAAAGAAAAAAGACCAAGGAACTACAAGTTACGCTATAATGTACACTAACTCCACCAGTTACTAAACAATCAGCTCAGGCAATAACATTGCACGACACTGACCAACCGTGTCGCACGAGCTGATTGCTTAGTAACTGGTGGTGTTAGTGGACATTATAGCGTAACTTAATTTCTTGGTCCTTTTTTCTATTCTTTAAATTTATCATTGGCTCTTCATCCGAGTCCAATCTTTCATTCATTAATCTTGTGAAGCAGAGAGCGAGTTTGTGAGACGGAGAATGGGCGTGTTTTAAAATTACTCAATTTCCTTTTCTTTAAAATATTTACCTATTATTCCCTTGTCTATTACTCCGTACATACCTAGCTTCTGAGTTATGAGCCGCCTCCTTGCTTTAACACCAAGACCCACTCCATTAATGGCTGCAGCAGTAATCTGGTATCGTGTAAAATGTCGCAAGCCAGATAGTGAAATCGAGTTGCTGACCCAACCTTTAGTGGGAGACAGATGGGAAGAAAGATATGATTCAAGCAAGAAAGAAAGCAAAAAAAGAGAATGATGGCAAGAGTAGAAGCCCAATAATAGAATGAACAAAGCGAAGAACTTCAAGAAAGTAAGTGTGTGCTGTTCCCTAAGAGGGAGCTGCCGCCTTTCCCGCTCACTTGACTAGACAGAGCGAATCAGTTTCATGCATTGAGGCGGCAAACAAGTGCTGAACACAAATAGGAATATGATTGCATTCAATCTGGGTCCAATCATGCATGCACCATGTACTCACTTTCATGAACTCGAATAGATCCGTGCAGAGAACAGTTGTAGAGTTGACATTGACAATCTTCTACTTTGATACACCCAATTGCATCGTAACTAACCTCATAGCCAATTATAGTACCATGGGAAAGAGCAGGTGGCATTGGCTGCAGGTTTTCAGGATACGAGTCACGCACACAGACAAAACTGGCATTATTTTCGCCAAAGCAGTGAAAGAGGATTAAGTTTGATTTTTAGCATGCAGCAAAGAATGGAAAAGTTTTGTAAAGATATCCACTGTATGCAAATCATGCGCTCTTTAAAATTGATGGATCTGTTGTCATAGACTTTCTACTCTCATAAAAAATATTCACGGTGCGCGTAAGACTCGGCCAAATGTCCAGTTTTCCGCAACCGCAGGATCGCCACCATCCTCTTGGATCATAAGATCATAGTACTCTCTCTCTCTCACTCACTCTCTCTCTCTCACTCTCTCACTCTCTCTCTCTCTCTCTCTCTCTCTCTCTCCGCCATTCCTCTCCCCCCCTCTCTCCCATGGTGCTTGCTGTGTTCGCCGATCCCGAGACCCTTGGTCGGGGGAGTCCACTGCATCTCACCAGCGCAGCTCATGTAGCGCCTACACACCCATTGTTGTCTTTTTTGTTTCGTCTTCGTTTTGTCTCCCCTTCTTCCCTAGGTATGTGCAATGTGATAAAAAAATTATTATTAGTATTATTTTGCTTGTTCGCGTTGGCATCAACCTGCACAAGATCATAAGAGTTTTTAAATGGTTGTGGGATACTCAAGAGAGACTGATGAGAGTTTGGACCATTGAGTCGTATGGTCTTGGACCGAGGAGGCTTTGAAGCACTTTTTACCATAATATTCCCATTCCTGTTGTTACTGGACATCTCATGTATTCATGCACACCTGATTAACATTGGAGCTGCTTTGCACGGAAACATGAACACTGCATTCAAAGCCCAAAAGTTCCATTAGGTGAAGTCATCACTGCAGTTCTGGGCTATGACAATGCACTTTTGATTGAGAACATCTGACGAGCAGATATTTTGCATGATCATAGATCTCTTAGGAATGGGTTTGCTCCCACAAGAGAGCTCGCACTATTCCGCCAACTTGACTTTACACTTGACTGACTCACAACTGTCATCCAGAGCAAAAGAGAAGTTCATCGAATCTTCGACTCGGCAAACCTGCAAGAAAGCACCACTCCCTGCTCAATACACAGTGTTTCGGGGAATTCACCCCTCATCAGTTGAGCTTGAGTAGGCTGAGGAAGATTGCAGAGTCGAGGCTCAATGGACTTCTCGTGTGCTCTGGATGGCAGTCGGGAGTCAGTCAAGTGTCAAGTCAAATCGGCGGAATAGTGCGAGCTCCAGTGTGGGAGCAAACACATTCCTAAAAAATCATCGCCGAAGTCGCAACCACTATTTCGTATCATAGATCTCCATAATATTATAAATCAGCTCACAATAGTACTAAAATTTGGCTTGACATTGGGATATTTTGTTTCAGTTCATGGGTCAAGAACTAGAAGAGTGATGGTGGTTTAACACACCTGGCAGGATGGCAGTGAGTACATGCCTGTCCAATCACCCACAAAACGCTCTCTAAGCCCCAAAGTGCTGGTAAAGAGTTCTCCATCTCTCACCACCATTATTATTTGCCGTTCGGCCTTAAGTTGATACATGACTGGTGATACACACATAGCTGGCTGGATACCTGTGTCACATCGGGCTCGGCAGCTGACGGTTTCTCCTGGGTTGTACGACGAACTACTAATAGCTTCTGTTATGTTGGGTGAACTGGTTCCGCTCATGAACACGCGCAGGAGCTGCAACATGCGCTTCGACAGCAAGACTCTAGCGGTACACACCAAGGTCGTTTGTACGACAACTGTCATACTTATTATACACTGATCATCAGCATTACCAATGCATGGGCTGTTGTTGTTTGTCTGCATGGGCTGTTGTTTGTCTGGAAACTGTCTCTTCGTATACGCCCTTTCAATCATTTCGTAATCCTTATGCTTTTCTTTTTGTCTGCTTTTGGTCAAATCTACTTAGCAACTAGCTATCTGTAATCTGATTGGTTGGCCTTTCCCATCTTGGCTTGACACTGTGTTATTTTCAACAATAATATATCGTATATAACTCCTGCTGCTTTCGAAGTAAAGTTACACTCAACCTGCTATCTCAACTCAGATCAATGATTGAATAGCAGAACTCTCCAAACCTTCTCGATCATCTCGTCCAAGGTGAATGTATGGAGCTGGATGGATACTTAGATCAACTGTATAGGTTGATGACCTGGTTGGGTTATTACGCAATATCAGGGTCAGTGTCGGACACACTACGGTATTGACTGTACCACTTCTTACCCCAGGTACTCCCTGAGTCAATAAACACACACTCTTCTGGGCTCCAGAATCTCCAATTTTTTCGCTCAGCCACCCCTCCCACACGAGTTAATTGTACTTCAGATGGCTGACCGTACCACACTAAAATACTTTCTGACACCCCTGAATTAATATGTTGTGGCCATAAGATTGGTATTTTATATTTCCGGCATGACACCTGTATATCAATTAGCGCCTGGAGCATAGGCGATGGAACAGCAACGACTAGGCTCGGATTGCGTTTCATCCCTCCAGAACTCACCAGGCAATCTCGTATTTCAGGAGTGATTTTACTAGCATGAAGATTACTACCAGAACCAGAAATTCAGCTCTTGCTTTACTTCTATGTCAGCTATCTACTTCCTCCGTATACAAAAACTTCGTGACTTTTTTTTTGAAGGCCTCGCACAGCTCTGGAATTTTTCCGTTTGACTTTTAATAACATCCGTGGCATTGTCTAACCTGTTTACAAGCTATATACAAAGAAAAAAGCAACTCAGACGAATGAGATTGAGCTTATTCAGAGTCTTCGTCACTCCTGTCCTTGTCACCTGACGACGCTGACGCCGCATCGCCAACAGTCGCTGTTTCCGCTCGCATTTCGTTCAGATTCTTTTCAGCTGCAGTGATGATCCGACGCGGGACTTTGGCTACGTCCTCTTCATCTCCAGAGCTGTGTATGAATCGGTGTCAACTGTATTTAGTCGTTCCAACCCACGACCTTCATTATGCCGTGAAACGAGTCGCTCAAGCACATCCACACGCTTCGCATTTTCTCGGCAGGATAATCCTCCCAGCATTCTACAACGGCTTCGAGGAGGTCCCTGCGATTCCCCTAGACGTTGACGTCTGATTGGAGAGAGGCGAAGAAAGCCAGGTCGTCGATATTCCGATCCGGAGTCAGCGCTGGTTGCACGACGACTGAAATGTTTCATCTTGCCGTGCGAGCGGAACCGATTTATGTTCTCACATTGCATATGGGGCCGCGCACCGCAAGTATGAGCCTGGCCAGTTTCATGGCTGCGAGTGCGGCGTGACTCCGTGTTCCAGCCGCGTGCTCCACTTTGTCACGGTGTCAGTTTCGAGCAAGCAAGTGTTATTTCTTTTTATTTGACTGGTGAGTTCCTGTCGGCAACGTCCTCACACGCATGGCTTCCGTGGAGAATCTGTTCGGGATCAACCAAACCTACCTCAACAATGAATGTGGGTTGTCGATGACAGCCTTTGGCGCGGTTCGTTGAACAGGTTCTTCCTCAAAAACACCGTTGAAAAAAAGCCACGAAGTTTTTGTATACGGAGGAAGTATGACTTGCAGATAGAACCCACTGTCACTATCCAAGTTGTTGCACACAATTTGCCTACTACATTCTTCACCGAATGCCGCAATGTACTGTGAACTGCCCAGATCTTGCTTTCAATATATTTATGTTAGTATGGACTTTGACCTGGTGATTATACACACTATGTAGGAGTACAACATTCTAAAGTGATGCACTGTGGATGAGGTGTGAGTGCAAAGGGGAATTCCCTAACCTTGAACCCTATCGTTGCATGACCTGGTGATGTTGAGACAGCAGTGAGGCCTTGGGGCGCCGCAGACCCTGCCAGTTAGGGATACAAATTCAGGAAACACAGAAACACATTAGGTCTCTCTGTGCCACTGTCCACTTTTTCCAGCGCATAGTTTTGGCAACAAAGCCATGGCAGCCTGTCAGGGATGCTGGGTCTGCAGCACAGGGATGACCATGTTGTGTGGCCAGTACCACTAGCTGTCTCTGCACTCTCCTGTTTCATTCCCATCCATCATGAAAATGGGAATGACTGTGTGGATTGCCTGATCATCCACTGTCACGTAAACTTCTAAACCAAAAGGTGGTTAAGAGCATGTCCTACTTTGAAGTACATTCAAAGTGGTCAACAAGATCTGAAGGGATTGCTAAGAAAATCTCTCTCGATACTAAATCACTAAAATAATATTGGCACACCGTATGCTTTTCTTCATCGTTGTACTTTTGTTGTACTGTTCAGGCCCGTCGCACCGACTTTGTAGGTGGGGCGGCCATGGAAGGGTGGGGGTCCGGGGGTCGTCCCCGTGAAACAACTTAAAAAATTGAAGCCAATTGCAAGCATTTCCGGTTATTTGGTGCCATTTCAGTGTACGGTAACTACAATGAAAGACTTTTTGATTCTGCAACAAACAAAGGAGACGCTACGATCGGGGACAAACATTACCCTCCCCTGGGAAAAAAAATTCAAAAATTGAAGCCAACTGCAAGCATTTCCAGGCATTTGGTGCCATTTCAGTGTAACTGCAATGAAAGACTTTTTTCTGCAACAAACCACGATCGGGGACAAGGATTTGTCACGTTTGCGCTAAGCTGCGATCATTGTGCTTTGTTGTAATGTGCTCAAAAAAACAAAAAAACGGGCGAAAAAGTGGGGAGGCCTCAGCCGCCCCACCCGCCCCGGCTGTGACGGCCTTGCTGTTTCACCCTAAGGATGAGTTATTCCCAGCAATTTGGTGACTCAGTATTGAATGGCAAAGAGCCCAATATGTGAGTGAGTGTTCAGAATAAAGAATGTTAAAATGGCAGGAATATAGTTTGGGGATCCTTTAAAAGGGTCAGGATCCTTTTAAAAGGGTTGTGTGGTTGACTTAAAACAAAGGCAGGACATATCCCACCAGCATTAAGTTGACACTTTCACTCACACATAGTCAAAAATTGAACTGGATAGGAACAGCAGGAGAACTATGATTCTTCCATCTCTGAAGAAATAATCATGATTTAAATACTGAATGATTGACGCACGTTATAAAATGTAGTAGGAGCTTACGTGATTCGGGAGTCTCCAGTCTTAGTCTAGGACTTGGACCACTTGGACCAGCTGCATTTTCTGCATGATACCAGCAGGTATACTTGGTGGCTGGTTGGAGTCCAAAAATTGTGACAGTATTGAGTGGAACACTTTGAACAGTGTCCTTCACATAAGATCTGTACTCTGTATCTGGTTTACAAATGACTTTGTAAGTTTTGACGGGTAGATTTCCTTTGTATGATGGTGATTGAAGATTAAGAGTGACCGAAGTTGCTCTTAGTGAATACTGGACGATGCGTGCCGGTCTAGGGGCAATAAGAAACCTGGGAATATCTGTCAATGAAAGAAATAATCAAGAAGAGTGTTTCATTGGCAGAGGAGCGCTTAATGCCCATAGAAGGCAGGTCATGTGATTTTGGAGTTACAGGTAAGTAATTATTAGTTCGGCAGGAAACGCGAGCTCCAACAACAATACAAGTCGCAGCCAACTTCTTTGGCTTGTAGTTTTGTACATCTACCAGCCTGATCACCAAAACAATGAAACAAGTTTGACTTGAAGATAGTTTGGGATTTGAACTCACAACCTCATGGTCAGCAGACAGCATTCATAACCACAAGGCCAAAAAGGAAAGGATAAATCGTGCGTTTGGATAAAAAATCGATACAGGGCAAATTGTAAACCATGGGAAAAGGCCGGAAACCTGGCTGAAATTCTGACTCCTTAACGGCTAGTCCAATTGTTCCGAAACCTTCACAGAACAATTTACCGTGTCCTAATAAGGCATTCTATGTACTTTGTTGTCCAAATTTTCCTTATCGTCATACTTTTTAAGACTAAAACCTGATTGTAAATCTTTTTGAAATGGACTGTAAGTAACTAAGTTTGTATCCCTGGTGATGGTTTCGCCTGGAGAGCAGTATATAAGTGGTGCTTTTCAGGCACATTCTTCCTCAGCCTACTCAAGCCCAACTGATGAGGGGTGAATTCCCTGAAACACTGCGTATTGAGCAGGGAGCGGTGCTTTCTTTCAGCTTTGTCCAGCGGAAGGTGCGACGTGCTCCTCGTGTGGTCCGAAAGGAAGTCGTGAGTCGGTCAAGTGTCAAGTTCGGCAAGAAGCGTGTGCTCCTCGTTGGAGCAATCAACTTCATGACATTTCTATTAGTTCGAACAACACACATGACGACGTAGGTAAAAACAAAGCATAGCGAGGGCTCCTTGGCTTTGACGCCCTCTTGTTGCAAATGAAGGCTAGAAACTGTCGCTAGGGAGCACCCTATGGCTGAAGGTTTTCTAAAAGCCCAAGAATGCTGGCCGATTTCACCCAAGGGAAACTAATAATCTCATCAAAATTGGTCACAAGGTGTCACTGAGGTTGCGTTCACACAACGATTGAAAATGATTTGCGTTTACACGGCAACGAAGTACGACCTAAACGGAAAGAAATCGTTTCGTTTACTACTATTGTTTACACGACAACGCCCAAAAACGATAACTAAACGCAATGGAATGGAAACGCACTTCAAAGTGTTTTGAAACGTTTTGAAACGTTTTCAAAACGTTTTCGTTCTCGTGTAAACGGTGAAAACAGTGAAAATGATTGGAAACGGAGCGCCGGTCATGGAAACCATTCCGCACGGATTATATTTCGCGGCAAATACCCGACCCTTGCGCCCACCAGCACGTACCAACTCCCACTAACGTGTCACTTCCCGCCCTTGCGCCAAGCCACCACGTGCTAACTCCAGCCTGATCACCCGTTTTCCGTTTTCGTGTAAACGGTTCAAAACGATTTGCCGTTCTCGTGTAAAGGGTTTGAAAACGATTCGAGGCCAGTCCGTTTTTGTTCCGTTTCGTTCCATTTCGTTTTGTTTCGTCTCCGTGTAAACGCAGCCTGAGACTGGGTTAACATGTTGGCTTCCTTCCCCGCAAAAAAACCAAGAGAGCTTGTAAGGTCATTGACCTCGCCATGCTTCTTTGCCTAGGTCATCGTGCATGTTATTCGAACTCCTGGAAACGTTTTTGCAATACAATGATAAAAATACTTCGAAGTAGAAATACATCCACCCTCCCCATTTCTTTCCGTAACACAGGATAATCATAAAGTACATGACATTGTATTTCTTGGCTTTGCCTAACATGGGATTCGAACCGCACTATCGCCCTGCATGTATTCCCCCGATACACTTCACATGCATACGCATGATTCCAAGTTGCTTCACGTTATGATCTTGCAGTTGAAACCCCTGTTTAATTATGGTGGCCAGCTGTCTTTTACAATGATAAAATAAAAATCCACCCCCTCCCCATTTTTTTCTGAAGAAAAATGGGTGGTCATGAAGTGTATTCTTTGGCTTGGCCTAATATGGGATTCAAACCTATCGCCCTGCATGCATTCCCCCGATACACTTCGCATCATACACATTCTTCCAAGTTGCTTCTCGTTATGATCTTGCAGTTGAAAGCCCTTGAATAAGGTGAGCTATCTTTGATGGTACGGTACGGGGCGTATGCGAGATAGTGCCAGGCATGCTGTCGTCAGCCACAAACAAACACCGAATTAAAGCTGTGTAGACCCTGGCTAGCGCCAGATGTTACTTTTAAAGTCTTTCGCCTAGCTACTGGAGTACATGAAAAAACATTATTATTCTCAAACCGTACCTTGTACTAGGATGTTCAGTTGTTTTGAAGCAGTTCCAAAGGGTGTTGATACTGTACAAGTATATATCGCTGAGTCGTCCACAGTTAGGTAATCACCTAGCTTGCGTGTCCAACCATTTGCACCATTATATGCTGGTAGTATTCTTCCATTCTTAGTCCACGTCATATTCAATGGTCCCGTGCCGTTTGCTCTGCACACCAAGGCAATTAATCCCACCTGCCATGATGTGGACACGATAGTCATGGATCCACTGATGAAGGCAATGTATGGTTTTTCTATAAAAAACGCAAACAGGGAGGAAGCAAGGAACCTTCACCACTACAGACTGTCCTCGTATAACAAGAACAATGGGGTAGGTGTAGGGATAGGTGGGGTGGTAGAAGCGGGAATGGCACATCTGAAATAGCTAAAAGAAATTGACAAGGTGTGCTTGAACGAAAATAAGCACAGGGAAGAGCTGTTGAACTTAATTACAAAGAAATAGGGGCGTTTTAAACCAAAACATTGCCTTTAATTAAAGATGCACCACGAAAACTCGAACCAAGGACCTTTGCAAATATAATACTCATATTTTTCCTGCAGCAGTAGCGAGAGAGCTTGGAAACTCAGGGCCCTATGCTATGCTTGTTTTGCCTTCAGGACCTAGGTAAAAAAATGCATAATGGATGTTACAAAATTTTGATTTCTCCTATTTTCTTTTAAGACATAACCTGGGATTCGAACCCGCACTATCCCCCTGCATGCATCCCCCGCTACACTTCGCATGCATACTCATTCTTCCAAGTTGCTTCAAGTTATGATCTTGCATTTGAAAGCCCCATTTGAATATTGTGGCCAGCTGTTTGTGTCCAGCCGTTTTTGATGGTACGGTACGGTACGGGACAGGTACGGACGAGGGTAATACGACAACGTCTACCGCCTAGATGACCTATTCAAAAGAGCATAGGGATGTTATAAATGTTTCAATTCTCCTATTTTTTCAAGGCATAACCTGGGATTCGAACCTGCACAATCGCCCTACATGAATTACCTGAAACACTTTGCATTCATACTCATTCTTCCAAGTTGCTTCACGTTATAATCTTGCATTTGAAAGCCCTATTTGAATATTGTGGCCAGCTGTTTGTGGCCAGCTGTCTTTGATGGTACGGTACGGTATGGGACAGATACGGGATAGCACCAGGCGTGACACGCACAAACAAACAAACACAAAATTAAAGCTGTGTGGACCCTGGCTAGCGCCAGACGTTACTGAAGTAGCGTCTTCTGCATAGCTACGGGAATAAAACAGTAGTATTGCCAGTTTTGCATACAGAAATGATTCTCTGTACATGACTAGTAACATATGCATTACTCACCGGCAACGTGTAAAGTTAGAGTGTTCCTCTGATACAGTTTTTCTCCCTGCCGAAAGCTGCATTCATACGTTCCTATCATTGACTGAGTGATAGTTGTTGGCCAGTGGAGCTTTCTGGTGTATGTTATATCCTTTTCTACTGATGACTGCCGCTCGTCGTGATAATGGCGTTCAATCCTGAACAATGGATTGTCTTGAACAGGTGCGTTGTTGAAGTACCAGAAAGCTGTCGACAGGGGTGGGTCAATGGGCCCAATTGAATGAATTGTGCCACATATGATCAAACACGTCAAAGTAGGAAGACTTGCCGATGACGTGTCAGGCACAATGTAAAAATCTCTTGGTCCTTGATAGTTAATATACCCAATCGGTTCTTTTCTAAACCCAACATATCCATTTTTACAGTCTGCAACAACAAACGCACACAATGTGAGCAAAAAAAATGATGACTTTCATAGAAACTATGTGGAAGTATTAACTGTCACGTTGCCGTAAAGTGGCAACGAATGCTAACGTACGGGCTGTATTGCATGATACTCGGCAACTGCTATTACTGTTGCCTAGCAACGAGTCTCCAGCTTTTCTGGGCCCCAAATAACTATCATGTTGTGTGACTTTGCACATGACTGCATGGCGTCAGAGCAACTTTGGAAGAGTTCCAACAAGCTAGGAATCAGACGAAGTCCATGATTGCCTCCGCTGGCCATCGGCCCTTTCTAGCAATTTAATTTTTGTATTCATTAATAGTGAACAAAGACATAAAAGCACTATATATATGGCCTGGACTACCATCATACAAAGTGGCACTCATTGTAAGAAAAAGAATACAAGAGGATGTAGATTGACAGACTTAGATTTTCATGCCCTCGCTCAGTATTATTTTCATCAGTCCTCACGGATCTCACACCATTGTGACAATACAATCACCCTTCTACCCTTGTTTTTACTGCAGTCACTATGTAACCTTCACTGAACTCATAGTTTGAGCATATTTTCCCGTTTGCTTTCCCATGTACATTATTCGATGTAAGTTCACTGAAGACCAACGAAGAAAAAAAGAACGTTTATGAATTATTGTAAAAGAGAAAAGGACATATGGATACGAGTTTAGAGTAACTCTCCGTCACTGTAACATGATACTATATACAGTCAGAAAGTGAAATAACTAGGCACAAAACTGACAGAGTACAAGTTGGGTGGTGTGCTGCTTTGCTGCTTCGAATTGTAGTTAGACCGCTTTGTCAAATATCGTACTGGTCTCGTCATCGTCCAGTAACAATCGACATTCTTTGTTCCGTTGGGACTGTAGCTTTTGCTCGTTTTCGCTGCGCTTGCCGTCCCCTCTTTGGTCTTTCCATAACCTTGAACCTTCCAAGTTGGAAGGCTGTCGGTTAGCGCTACGGAGATGTGTTAAAGTTAGGTGTCAGGACGTCGAATGTCTCAGTACTCTGTCAGTTTTGTGCCTAGTTATTGCACTTTCTGACTGTATATAGTATCATGTTACAGTGATGGAGAGTTACTCTAAACTCGTATCCATATGTCCTTTTCTCTTTTACATTTATTTATGGCTCAACATCCGAGTTTTATGAATTATTGTTCACATATTTTCTTTTATTAGTCCATCCTGGCATTATGTCAGCTTCCATTTTTTTTATGGAAAAGTTGTAGGATGCGGATGCAGTTTTGAGAGCTGTGCATCCTTTTTGTGAAAGTAGTCCCTGTTATGTTGTTCTGTTATCTTGCATGAACAAGGACAAAAGGCAAAGGAAACTAATAAAACTACAAGGATAAGCGTTGGTACAAAGAAGGCAGTACAGAGACGGGGATCGCGAGAGTGTCCATATGCATACGCATAGAATCCTAGTTAGGTAGGACACGGATATGTGCAAGGCACGCATACGGAGCGTAGTGCGTGCAGGGTACAACACGAATGCATAATAAGACATGTGAGTTACATACATAGAACACAGAAGATGCAGCACAGGGCAGGGAAGCATCATACATGAACAGAGCAGTCCATAAGAGTACATACATAAATACGGTAGTGCATACACAACATCTCCCTCTTCAGCGAGCGAGGGAGAAAAAGGAGCGAGAAGACAAAACTATACAAACAGCCTGGATGGAAGACAAGAGAGTGAAATAGAGAGAGAGTCGACAGACTTGGACAGACAGAATATAGCAGATACAAGAAGAAAGAAGTAAGACAGATACAGATACTGAGAGTCAATAGATACTGAGAGCGGCAAGAAACAGTCACTGTCAAGCATTAGGATGCTTTCGCAGGTGGCGGCGGTTGCGTCGAACAACAGCACCGGACTGCGTTCCGATGACGAGTGACTTCGGCTCTGGAGCAACTGCGATCACTGTTGCCTTCCCCTTCGAGGGGCCGGCGGCAGACGTGACAGTGTCACCCGGTACCAGAGGAGGGAGGTCACGAGTGCGGTGCCGGAGGTCGTATTGCCGGGTAGACTTGGCTTTCTGCTGTGCATCAGCAGCTTGAAATGCGTCGTGATTGACAGCATCAGGCAGAAGTTGCGATGGCAGCTGAGGGTGCGGGGTTTTGACTTTGCGTCCCATCAGCAATTCGGCAGGACTATAGCGACAGTGTGGCAGGGCAGAAGCTCTATAGGCAAGTAGAGCATCATACCACTGCCTTGTGGTGGCGTTCTTCTTGAGCATGTCCTTGACTGTACGGACCATGCGCTCGGCTTCTCCATTACTCTGCGGGGAATGTGGACTGCTGGTGACGTGCTGGAAATTGAGTTGACGGCTGAACGTGCGGAACTCCTCCGAAGCAAATTGCGGGCCATTGTCAGAGCGAACTACAGCAGGAACACCATGGCGGCTGAAAAGCGAGTGAAGTGTGTCCACGAGTTTATTAGCGGTGGTAGACGACATGGTGATGACCTCAGGGTAACGAGAGTAGTAATCGACCACGACCAATCAGTTGGTGCGATTATGCTGGAAGAAATCCACACCAATCGTGTGCCAGGGCCGTTCAGGAGTGGCGGTGGCCATGAGTGACTCAACTGGCTGCAGACGATGCTCTGCGCACTGGAGGCAGTTGGTAACCAACTTAGAGATTTCTGTTGCGAGGCCTGGCCACCAAACAGAACTGGCAGCGCGCAGTTTGCATCGTACTTCGCCTTGATGACCGGTGTGGATCAGCGCTAACATATCACTGTGCAATGCTGGCGGAATGTATATGCGCTGACCTCGTAGGATGATGCCCGAGGTGATGGTGAGCTCATGTTGTAGCGGCCAGAATACTCTTATGTCTGGTGAGAGTGGCTTGGATGAGGGAGGCCAACCATCGGTGATGAGCGTTAGCAGCTGCTAACATACTGAATCGGCAGCTTGTGCTTCACCAATCGAAGCCAGTGATGCGTCCAGCTGCTCGACTGCGGAAAGCGTGACCTGAGCATACGCTTCCGCGTCTTCCTGGAGCTCAGTGTCGGCAGCTGGGCGACTGGCGGAACACAGTTCTGGAGCCCGTGACAAGGCGTCGGCGGAATACAGATATTTGCCAGGCACATGAATAACATTGTAGGCAAGCCTGGCCATGCGCAGCTGAAAGTGCAGGATTCGAGCTGGCAGAGAGTACAGCAGCTTCGTATTGAAGAGTGGGACCAATGGCTTGTGGTCCGTCTCGATGCTGAATACCGGTAAACCAAGAAGGTAGTGAGAGAAGCGCTCGCAACACCACGTTAGTGCGAGAGCCTCCTTCTCAATCTGTGCATAATTCAGCTCGGCCAGTGACAGTGAACGAGAGGCACATGCGACCGGCTGCCAGTCGGCTGCTGGTGAGCGGCGCTGGAAGAGAACAGCTCCAATGCCGTAGGCAGACGCATCGGCAGAGACCTTCGTATCATAGCGGGTAGAATACGGGAGTAGCGCTGGGGCTTGTGAGAGCTCCGTGACGATGCCTTCAAATGCACTCTGTTGGGGTGAGTCCCAGACCCAAGACGATTTCTTGTACAGAAGCACGCGCAATGGTTCAGTCAACTCTGCGACCCGTGGCCAAAACTTGCCTAGCTGATTGACCATGCCGAGGAAGCGACGGAGTGATGACACACACTTGGGTACTGGAAATGTCGCTTTCCAGTACCAGAAACCTTTCCAGGGTCCAGCGTGATGAGGCCATTTTGGATACGGACACCGAGGAACGAGAGAGAATCCGTGGAGAACTGGCACTTGCGCGGGTTCAGTGCCATGCCAGCATCTGAGATCCGTTGCAGGGCAATGCGGAGACATTCGTCATGCTCAGCCTGGTCTGTACCACCAACTAGAGCATCGTCTATCATGCTGGCCACACCGGGTACGTCCTGAAGAATGGTACTCATGCGGCGCTGAAACACTTCTGGCGCGGACGAAATACCAAACGGCAGTTTAGTAAATGCAAACCGGCCGAATGGCGAGATGAATGTTGTCAGGGACTGGGATGCTTCACTGAGTGGGATTTTCCAAAACCCAGAGTTGGCATCTAACTTGGTGAACACTGTGGAACCCTCCAGTTGGGCCAGCGTTTCGTCGACGGTCGGGAGTTGATGTAATTCCCGACGGATGAAAGCGTTGAGTGGCTTATATCCCACACAGACGCGCACGAACTTATCCGGCTTCAGCACTACAACCATGGCATGGCACCAGTCAGTGGGACCAGAGACGGGCTTAATTATTCCCATAGACTCCATGCGCTGTAGCTCTTGGTGTACCTTGGCCCTCAGTGGCAGAGAGACATTGCGCGATGAGTATATACTAGTAGGACGGGCATTGTAGGTCAGAGCAATGTGATATTCATCTGTCATGCTCCTTAGGCCGGAAAATAGATGCGGAAACTCGAGCAGAACCCAATCAGGCATAGTGCTAGAGAGATCATCCGGGAGACGATTTGAAGATTGCTCATTAGAGGACTCCTGCTGCACCACAGGGGGGGGGGGGGGGGGGGGGTGAACGGAGGAGTCAGACGAAACTAGCAGCATTGGTGCTGTGTCAGGATCGGTTTGTGGCAGCGTCGGTTCGGATGTGTCAAAGAGACGCTTCACCAGTCCAAGGCGTTCAGACGCCCGGCAACTGAGAAGGCTGTGGCGCAGGCCCTGTGCAACGTAAACTGGCGCTGTCATTGGTGGCTGGCCGGGGCGCGTAAGCGTGGCTGAAAACTGACCGAGTGTTCTTAGCTGGTCATTTCGTAGCGCTGAACAATCCACTATGGCACATTGTTGACGGTGGTCGAACCGTCATGCACTCGTAGATTGCACTGGAAATTACTGTGACCTCCGCGCCAGTGTCCACTTTGAAGCGGATCGAGGAGTCATTGACGTTCACATCAACGTACCATGCTTTGCCTGAGGATGAAACGGCACCCAGGAACAGAGAAGTCACGTCCAAAGCAGACAGCGTAGAGGC